AAAGGAAGATCTATTAGATATTAATTAAATTATAAATATATCAATTCATGTGAATATGACTGAAAAATTTCATTTTTCCTGAAAAGGTGATGTCTATTTACTTAGGACCACGCTGTGTATATATATATTTAAAACAAAACCCATTACCTTAGTCTAAAACCCAATTTATGATGGCAATTTAATACATTAAGATACCATCCAACCGATGTCAGAAATATGTCATAGTTTTACAAAAGCTATTGCTAAGTGTCTAACTGTGAAACAACAACAAATTTATGGAGGTACAGAGTAAACAGAGAAACATTGTGTGGTGTACTTATCAGTGCAACACAAGAGTAAATGATCTTATACACATCTTTTGCAAATACACTTTTGTCTTTGATAAAGAAAACAGTTTCAATAACATTATGGCTATTTATAAGCATATTCTATATTGACTAAACTTAACAGTTTGATAATAAAATATTAATTCAAAAGTAGTTTATTTTTACATACTAGCATAAAATACCCTGTGGGGTTCAAAAGTACCCCTCATAATTCACAAATGCCTGTACTCCCCTATTATTATTATTAATAATAAAACTGTTAGGACATATGCTAGCTTGTGATTGAAAGTATGAATACAGTTTCAATCATAACATCCCTGGGAAATCATGAGGCCCAGGAACACAACATTTAATGACAGATTTAAGTTCAACAACCCTGAAAACCTACCCTTAGACCACTACCCTACCTAGTTGGCCCTCCAGGGCATTTTAGTCTATCAGTACATGAAATGCATGCAATATACATAAACTATTTGAAGCCACTATGTTTGTAAGTATGATTAGATTTACTAACCTTTTATAATTTAAGTGATTAACAATACAAAGAAATAAACCTGTTAGCTAAACATTAATTAACTGATAAAATATATTTTCCATGTTCAGCAAATAATCCAGTGTATAATAGTTATATTATTAAAAGTATTATGGCATTCACATTTTATTTATCTGAAAATGTGTTTCTGATAAAGACTTACTTCTTCATACAATAACTATTCCTTACATGTCTTCCCTTTGATAATTTATGCATGCCACTAGCCTTGAGCTACCTCACACCTGAATCCCATTTTAACATATGCTGTGCTAGTGCATGATGTAATCATGCAACAACAGCCCTCCACCAATAGGAGGGTGACATCCTCCATATGCAGTAGCTCACCGTAAGTACTTGCACTTGAAATTAACTTTACTCTTAGATAAAGCAAGAATTATGTGCACAGGGAGCGTGGAGGAAGGGTGGGAATGTTCGGAATAAGTATGTATCAAGAGTAACCTATTTCTTTGCCTGAAAATGTAACTTCTGAAACAACATCCTTACTTCTCTGCACACTGTAGCTAGAATCCTACAATAATGTGGTGGAAGAGCCAGTACAATTGCAAAAACCTAGATGAGCTCCTTTCAGAGAATGCAATTGAAGTAGAAAGCCCATGGTGTGTGCCATTCTATAGTGGGGCTTACTAGAGGGTCAACAGTTGTTGGAGACAGAATACATCTCGTGATAATCTTTGTCTGGATGGAAGTATGAAAAGAGGAAGACAAAAGAGCCAATATATTTGATATGTGTTCTGTATATACTTACCTTACACACAGAAACAGGGATGAATGTCCCTTCCTGTCACAAGAGGAGAATACCTTGTCTCATCTAGCTGGCCAAACCACAGAGAAATTGGCATACTACATAACCTTTTCTATACAGGTAGAGGTCAAAGCACATGCCATCACATTTTATAGACTTAGATTCAAAATGTTATTAATCTACTATTTTATGAATGTATGTCCATTAATTTCTTAATCAAAAGTAAATATTAAAATTATATTACTAAATATCAACTTTTTTGTGTTTCACGTTGGACATCTGGTTTTGCTCAGATTGTATTTTGGGTCTATAGTTTTTAACAAATTAGAAACTCAAATTCCCAATACTGACAAGCTAAAATAAGAACCTTGTCCTTTTCTATTTGCTGAGATACTATTATATTTAGGAAACCCACCACAGTGGCTCCACCCTCCTCTTCTTTTGAAAATACTCATTTACCTACACCTACTTCTCTTAAGCAGATGTTTATAAATATAAATCACTCATTTTGAACTATCAACAACAAGATCAGCTGGGAGAAGTCCACAGTGAGCCAGGAGACCATTAACAACTGACATGAGCACCTCCCTGTCATCCTGGAAGAATACAACCCCAGAAACATTTTTAACATGGACGAAACTGCCGTCTTCTATCGTGCCCTGCCTGACAAGATCTGTCAAGAGGAGTGATGTGTCTGGTGGGAAGAAAAGCAAGGAGTGTTTGACAGCAGCCCTATGTGTCAACCAGCTCAGAGAGTTTGAGAAAACCCCTGGTCATCGGCAAGTCCCCCCGCCTCTGCTATTTCTGGAACCTGGACACCTGCAGGATCCCCGTGATCTGGCATGCCAACAAGAAAGCCTGGATAACCACCACCATGTTTGAGTAATGGGTCAGGGACTTCATTCACTGCATGTCTATCCAAGGCCACCAAGTCATCCCCTTCCTGGATAACACTCCATCCCACCCCCATGACCTGCAGCTCAGCAATGTCAAACTTATCTACCTGCCTGCCTGCTAATGCCATTTTCTGCCTTCGGCCACTTGACCAGAGCATCATCCAGGCTATGAAGCTGCAATACCACTGCCGCCTCCTCCTGCAGTATGTCATCACCAAGGCAGAAATCGACCGACCCCCAAGCCATCTGCAAGTTTATTGATAAGCTGCTGTCCGTAGTGTCAAAGCCACCACAGTGCAAAAGTGCTTGAAGAGGACAGGCATCCCCCCTCCCCATGGCATTTATCTGTTAATCAAAAATACAATATAGAATTATATTTTTAAACAAGAAATGAAAAAAAATAGGTATGTAAAGATGTTATTACAACATTCTGTATCAAACAGGAACATAGAAAGTTGAGTATTAAGGGTGAGTTGTAGGGGTATGTACTGTGCCTTTGAGGCCTCAGTCTTATCCCAGAGTTGACCCCATACAGTGACACCTGGTAATATAGCTCCCCCCCCCCCCATGCAGCAATTAATTGTTTAGACCCACAGCTGACCAGATAAATGGGGCTGGACTGTACATCATATATTTATGACCATGGTTTCACCAGTAAAGTATGTACCCGATGATGCCTTTACTGCCAAAACCATGGTCGTAAATAAATGACGTATTTGTGAAATGTACAATTGTCTTGTTTTTCCTCAATTTTATAGATAATTGTAAAAGGTGATGTTTCTAATTGGAAAATAGTGATCGCTTATGTGAGTATAACAGTCTAAGAGATTATATTACTTTGCTTACTTTTTACAAAAATGTTAATTTTGTCATAATCTCAACAAAGAAGCATTCCTACATAAAAAAGTAAAAAATACACGTTGAAGCATATGCAAGTTTAAAGGCATTTGTAGTATTTAAACATTTGCCAGTCAACACTGAATATGACAGGTGAATTTTGGTGGAGAAAATCAAAAGCTAAGCTTGAGTTTTAAAATGATGTACCCAAATTATTTCTCTAGCAATATTCATAATATACTAACAGTGTGAAAATAAAAAATTATTGCTTACATTGCACTTTTTCTTTGGCTGCAATACACATTTAAGATTATCTACCTTAGAATGCAACATGTAGACAGTATGGATTAATGACTTAAACTGTTGCTGGTTAAATATTACCTCAGTATGTACCAAGCAGCTTGTTTACTTCACACTGAAAGTGGAGTAAATGGACACACTTTGTGCTTTCCACCTCAGCAGCATGCCTAATATAGACAGATGTTCTTAAATATATATTTATTATACCTATTTGGTATATGCCTATTATGATCCATGTCATTCCTAAAGTAGATATAATTATTATTTCCTGAAAAGTTTATGTAAGGTTATTTACATTAAGCTGCAGCATGGTCTGTTGTACATACAGTAAATTATGTACGTTAC